TGCAGAAAATTTGCCCCTCCTCAGGATGTGAAATTAACGGAATGAGCATACATGAGAGTGGTGAAACGTTTAACCCTTTCTCCGCTGATTTCCATTCATTTGAGCTAGCAGCCTCCGACGGCACATTGGCGCGACTTCCTCATTGGCTTTTTCTCTTTTTCTCAGTAGTCAAGAATCAAGAGAGAGACAGATCAGAGCTGCATCAAGTTTTGCCCCTTCTACGGATCCGATATTAAGGTAAAGAGCAACGCGAAGCGGGAAAAAAGCAATCCTTTCTCCGCTTGAAACTGCATTAATTTGAGCTGCATTTTTTTCAGCCCTCATTTGGCACGACTTCCTCATTTGGCTCTTTTTCGCTTTTTCTCAGTAGTTCAGTCGTTTTTTTTAAATCCAATTGTGGAGAAGTTGTAATTTTTTGCTTCTTTATGTTTTTCCGGGTGCTGATGACGAATCTGAGGTTTGCCACCAATTATTTTAGTTGGAATTTTAGTTATAGCCAAAAAACATAAAAAAAAATTTCCCCCAGTTTTTTTGCTTGTAACTCAAAAATTGTCAATTTTTAGTATATCATCATTACATACCAAAATAATCAGCACAAAATTTTCTACAACTTAGGTCTATACAACTTTTGCATCACTGCTTGTTTCTGAGCTGACGAGCTGCCACTGGTTCAACATCAAAACAAATAAAAACAGCACCAACTTATGATGATGGCTCGATTTTTAGATGTAATCTACTTCTTCCTTTTTCTTCTTTGGTGACTTTCGTTTTTCGTACGAACTTGCGAAAACGAAAGCCTAGAATATTTTCAATGTTTTGTGTTTTCTGCCCTTACCAAGATTACTTTCGCTTACCCATAACTAGTCTCCCGCGTACTCACAAGGGTACTCGTACCTTAGGTTCGGAACCTCTGAGTTAAAGCCAATGTAAGTTAGCCAAATGCAATTCAAGTAAATGCTAAGTACGAGACTTGGGCTCTCTAGCAACAAGTATCGCAAACAAATTTGTTTCAAACCCAGGTAAATATTATTTCGGGCTTACTTACTGGGGATTTAACCCCAAAACAGATTTTTTTAAAAAAATTGGAGCAGTGTTCTTCAAGGGATGCGATTTGTGAAATTTGTCAATATCCAAATGTTCTTCGATTTAAGTTGTCGAAAAATAGAGTTTGGAATTGATATTTCGCTTGTTGGCCTCGTGATGCGAACCTTTGCTTGTAGCGGTTACAATTCACTGCCTTCTTCTTTTTATGGTAGGTGGCGCTACTAGAGCCATCCCGGTTTTTCCCATGATGCCTCTCTCTCTTCTTTTCTGTGTACTTGTCTTGTGTTGTTGTTCTCTGTCTTGCGTCTTGTACCTTTTAATGTACTGTGTCGTGGAACTTAGCCATCTAATAAAAATGGTTCCTGAAATTGAATTGATTCTTCAACAGCGGCATTCCATATAAACATGAGTCTCGTCCCTCTACATACTTAGATTAATGTTGATTTTTTTTTAGTTCAAGTATCTGTATGAGTATCGAAAAAGGAGCATGTTTGTTTGAATATCAGTTATCGTTATTTTGGTGGAACTGTATTAGCTAAGTGAGTAGGGTGTGGATTAGGTTTCATCATCATCATCCTCGTTTTCTTATCATAATTATGAGTGACGGCCTCAGGGGTTCTTGTGCAGCTTCGAAACATATAAATCTAGAAGCCAAATCAAATCACACCAAATAGAAAAACTGTGGTATTTTCTGCAAATTTTGTGCCCTGCAGTGAGTTGAAATTGTGATAGGTGGGGTGAGAATGTGGTGACACTTTTCGTTGCTCTCGTTTGCATTATATTGTCTAACAGTGAAAGACAGTAATTCCTAACCGAGACACTAATTGATGGCAATCCAAGAAACTGTTATCTTTCACTCAGTGGCGAATCCAGGGGGGGGGGGGGGGCGATCGGGCTGCAGCCCCCCAGAGCTAGATCAGAATTCTTTATTTTATTTAAAATCACTACAGCTGTTTTTTCTTAATTTCCCTTTTAAAAAAAAGTGAAAACATTTCTTCCTGGTTTTTGACGGGCTCGAAAGTTTTCCGACTTTTGTGCTCATTCCATTCGTATTCGCAGCGTTGACACGGTCAAAAACATGTTTTGCCAGTTATTTTATTGTTTTTTTGTTGTTAAATTACATTGTAGGTATTGTAGTGTTCTTTATGATTTTTATTGTCAGGTGAGTCAAGTCTGTAAAGTTAAAGTGTTTTGGTTTACATAAGCCGTAAGATTTGACATTAGTCACGACGATACAAAACTTTTTATGACCTCAGCCACCCACCCGACCCGAATCATGGATTCGCCACTGTTTTCACTATTTCCAGTAGAGTGAAACTTAGTACAAAAGACCGTATGGGCACTTTCTCGTACCACCTGAAACAATCTCGCCTCATTCTGCGGTAATAAATCTGCTGTTGAACTGATCGGAAACCTTATTAGCCTAGCGCTTAAAGATTTTAGAAGGGGGATGTTGAAATAAAGGTCTAAATCGACGGTCTCCGGCCTAAACCGGCGATGCCAGCATGCATAATCCCAGTGTCGCATTCTAAAATGCGTAATTTGTAGATTTAGAAGTATTAAAAGCTCTGCGAGGTCGTATTTTACGTCTACCGAAACAAAGGCAAAAAAGAAGCGTTAAATTGTGTTGAGTGGAATCGTGATTCATTCGTCAGAAGCTTATCGTGCGTTTTCTGTCTTCCACATGTAAATGCGATCAAGAGGTTTGAGGAAGATAAAAAGGTGCTACCGTGACGCGTCTCGAGAGCTTTCTTAAAATAGAGGGGGATGATAAAATTGATTTGTGCTCCGACTCTGTCACAGAAACTTTCGCTGCTCTCATAAACAAAGACTGAAAATTCTTTGAAGTGAGCGCCAACTCCATCATTTATATTTGAATGAAGAAACAGAAGAAAGCATGGGCGTACTTTTACCCGATTTATAGCATGTCTGCCGTTTAACTTGATAGTATAATTATTGCCGGATGAATATGGTTACAAAACATCTCGTAGCTTGTTTCTCTGCCGTAAATGGACGCCTGCTGTGAAACATGTTGTACAGGAGGTGATTATAACGGAAAATAAATTTTTATAGAAAAGTTTTCAACGAAAGTTTTACTGAGAAATACAGGCAGTGGAACAAAGTTGTATGAAAACCGTGAGTCCCCCTCCCCCTCCTTCCGTCCAAACAAATGCAGTAACATTGGTAAATATTTCCGTGGGTCGATCCAGGCAAAAATTGGGGCCGTTTTGCTGCCCTTTCACAAAATTCCACTTCATAAAAACGGCCCCTTCACAAAACTCAAATTAACAAAAACGGCCCCTTTTTTAATCTGACTTCTTTTTTAAAAGTTTTTGAATGAGGCATTGCACAAAATATATATACGAGTATTTTTTTTCATTATTATATGAAATTACTGCATATATTTGGCTCAATGAAACACTTTTGATATTAAACGTAAAATATAGAAATATGACTGTTAAAATTGAAGCTTTTACATGATAAAAAATATTTTCACAAAAATGGGTCCCTAAAAAAACACCTGGATCGACCCCTGATTTCCCACTACAGTTTGATATTTATCGAAGGGTGTTATCTTAGCTTTTTGAAGTTTGAAGCTACAGGTAGATATTTCACGAAACGTGTAGCCTTAATGACTATCATTTGCGCGTTTGAAAAAATAATGCCAAATTAAGGATATTTCCTCAATTTTATGATTGTAGGTTGTTATATGAAGGTTGTAGGTAACTGCTTGTGATTTCAATTTAATGGTTACGGAGAATAATGATTGAAATTTTTGTCTCTCAGAGTTGATGAAATTTTTATTTGCATATAGCGAATATTCAGAACATTAAATTGTAAGCTTTACAACTAGGCTCATAATCTTATTCTAGTCTCACGATTGCCTGTCCAGTTTGTTTATATTCAAAAGAATGATAATTCAGGCTCTCAGAAACTCTTTTGAAACCCAAGGAGACATTTAGGTATGTTATGACATAGCAGATAAAATTAGATAAATCTTGAATTATCTATATTATACCCGGAGTTACATTTTATTGCAGAACCGTTATTTTGAAGTAACGTTTGTGGGATAACAACTTATTTTAAAGTTTTTTTCTTATTCCTTTTACCGCTGAAATATCTGTTTAGTTCTTATGTTTCAATTTGTTTTGTTAATTTTTCGAATCGCTTATTTGTTGTGTTCTTTTTTCTAAATTAACAGTCTGTTTTGGTTGGTAATATTTTAAAAAGAAATTTTAATTCGAAAGTGGTAAGTGATTAAAATATTCCAGGTCAAAAAATGAATTATTGAAATGAATGACTGGCTAACGGGAAAAAGTATAACCAAATGCTATTTTAATATCTAGAGAAAAAAAATGATAAGAAAATGCGATTTGAAAAGGCCATTGGTCGCATTGGACGCTGGTAAATTTGATGCAGTAGTCCTGGCCTTTCTTTTACTGTTTTATCTTTTTCAGTTTAGTTACAGTTTTTATTAACCACGATGTTTGTGTATCTTAATTTTTGTGTACTAAATATTTCGTGCTTTTAACCCACTTGCTTCGGCAGCGTAGTATTCGGGACTCTTGTTATTTTTTTCCAAATTTGCTGGGACACGTTGTTGTAGTTTTGCAAATATGTAAACAGCTATTCTCCTGGTTTCAAAAGTATTTTGAATTATTCGCATATCGATTAAAAATAACCTGTTATTTTTCAATTCCTACTATTAGTTCACACTCTCCCTATATATATTTATTTATATATCTTGTTCAAATTTTCAATCGTTAATAAAATACTTTTTATTCATCCCACTCAAGTTCAAATACATTTTTTAAAAACTTTAGCAGTGGATGACACTTAATCATTAATACAGTTTTTCAAATGTTATTCATTAGGTAAATTGGTAGATTAATTTTATTTAATGAGCCTCACGCACAGGCCACGATCATGGTGTAGGGATAAGAAATGCGGAACAGGACTCAGTGGCGCAACGGTAGCACTTCTGACCAGATCAGAGGCTGCGTGTTCAAATCACGTCAGGTCAGAGATTTACTCAAGACATATCATTTTGCACTTAATTTATATTCTGGAAAATATCTTGTTAGCAATTGCATCCAAAAATGTTTAGTTCGCCGTTTGAATGGATAAACTTGGATCTATTTTTTTCAATTCCTACCTTAGTTCACACTCCCTACTTATATATTTATTTATATATCTTGTTCAAATTTTCAATCATTAATAAAATACTTTTTATTCATCCACTCAAGTTCAAAATACATTTTTTTTAAAACTTGTAGTGGATGACACTAATCATTAATAGTTTTTTCAAATGTTATTCGTGGAGTAAATTGAATGAATTAATTTTTTATTTATTAGAGCCTCACTTTGAGCTACGATCATGGTGTAGGAATAATGCAGACAGGACTCGGTGGCGCAACGGTAGCGCCTGACTCCAGATCAGAAGGCTGCGTGTTCAAATCACGTCCGGGTGAAGAGATTTTACTCAAGACATATCATTTTTTTGCGCCAATTTATATTCTGGAAAATCTGTCTCTTGTTGGCAGTGCATCCAAAAATGTTAGTTCGCCGTTTGAATGGATAAACTTAGGTCTATTTTTCAATTCCTACTATTAGTTCACACTCTCCCTATATATTTATTTTATATATCTTGTTCAAATTTTCAATCGTTAATAAAAGTACTTTTATTCATCCACTCAAGTTCAAATACATTTTTTTTACCCCAAAACTTGTAGTGGATGACACTAATCATTAATACAGTTTTTTCTTCAATTCTTTAATTAAATTTAATTAGGTAATTTTAGTTTTATGGGAGAAAAAATTCTAAAAGCAAAATTTTTCTTTGTTGACCTAAGGTACGAATTGACTTAATATTTTTTTTATATATATATTACTTGTTTATACAGAAAGCATAAAAAAATCCCTCGTGGTCAGGTATTTAATAATAAATGCATCTGCAGGGAAGTTCTGAAATTGTTTTTGAAATTTCACGGATTTCATCAGCATTTCGGGCTTTGACACGACTGCAGGATTGCACTCAAAGAATGCGACTGTTTATCTTTTCCATTCATTCGGGCAAAAAAACACATATCCGGGGGGGGACTTTGGCGCCTGTTTTGGTAGTTGTCGTTTCGGTGCAGACAAATGTGTTCCTGAGCGTCGTTTCGATGCAGTCAGTAGATGTTGCCTACATTTGCTCTTGGTGCCTTCGTCTCCGTCTTGGATGATTTAGCATTCTTTGGATTAGTTAGTGTGAGGACTAGAATCCGTTTGTGGATGTTGCGGTGGCGGTGATATTACGATGCTTGGGATCGATTAGTTGTGTCAGCTGATTAAACGTGCCGGATCTGGGTGACAAATCGGGCGCTTTTGGAGGTTCTTTTGTTTCTCGTGTGCGAGTTATTGAGAGGACGCCAAGAAATTTCGAACTCGAGATTTTGGTAGATCTCCACGTTTTGAACCTCTCGGGTCAGAAACACAATTTTGAATTATGTCTGCTTGTGTGTCTGTGAACACGTGCTCGAAAAACAAATTTGAACATAACTCAAAGACTATTAGTAAAGGGAATTAAATTTGGTATGCTGTCTTTACACACTAATTTGTAGGTTTCTATCAAATTTTGTTGTAATCGTCCACGGAGAATCTGTCCTTTCATGTAGGACACAATAACTCACAGAAATTAATTAGCTGAGGATAAAATTTTGTGCACAGTTTTATGATCAGAAATGGATTCCGTATCAAAATTTGGACAAATCCCGTCAGTTGACTCTTGTGGTCTTATATCGCATACTCTGAACATGATAACTTAAAAAACCAAGTGACTTATACAGTAATTTCGTATATAGTCTCTAGCATGGTGTAGACTTGTCTCCAGTTTTCGTTTCAATCGGTTAAAAAAAAAAAAAAAAAGGCGTTGAAATTGCATATTCGATTTCTTCCTCAATCTACGACGGGGAGGGAAAGAAAAAAAAAAATTGCGCTAACGCTAGAGCATTTCCCCACCTGTTGAGGGAATGGAGATCATTACCAACGCTCAGGGCATTTTTTATACGTGTTAGGCGTATGCGAGAAAATTTCGGGGAGGCCAATCCCGCTGGTTTAAAATTTATTTCTCGTTTTTAAAAAAAAAAAACAGTACCGAAACGGCGGTCAGCTCCAGTACACCCCTAATTAGAATCAAATCTACTAATCTAGATTGGGACTACGCTGATTTGACAATTGTCTGTCTACTTAAAGGGTGTTCGCGATTTAAAAAAAAAAAAAACCCACTAACTGTATAATCGGTTAGCGAATATTAAACGCACAAAGACTAAAACAATGGTTCGTCAATCAATTGCCGATTTACCGAATATTTTTATGTGGATTTGATTAATTTGTTCTGGAGAGCTAAATAAATTAGGGGAAAGTGGGATAGAACCTGGTAGTTAATGCTCGAAGACCTGCTGGAGCTGAAATATTCGACATAAAGCTTGTCAGATTTTATGAAAGTATTCATTGTTTATCGGACTCCAATATAATATATCTTTCCAGAAAAGTCGCAGTTCCGTTACTTTTTTTATCAATGATTTTTTATTAAAAAAAAAAAGTCAAACTACCCAGTTTTACCCCACTAATGGGTAGTACATGTGTATGGGTAAACCGAGTACACATGTTAAAGTTATGGGAAAGTAGGAAAACTCTATTTTCAGTGGAAAAGTTGCAATCATTTTTATTTTATATGACAATTTAAGAATATTAGTTACAAAATTCACATGTAAAGCAGTTTTCTTCCTCCTCCGCGCCGCTGCAGGTTTCGTAGGGCCAGCTAAGACAGTTTTTACATTGGATTAACTTTTCTCTTTTATTTAAATTAGAAAATACATCATTATAGTATAAACTATCAACGTCTGATGTGTTTTTATCGTCTTAATCGTAGGAATTATCAATACTGACTGTCCCGGTCTTACGCCACTTTGAAGTACCCGGTTTTACCCCGAGTGCAGAGGTTACAGAAAACGAAATAGAACAGCGCAACTATTGGTGTAAATATGTATTGTGTGATAGGGTATGAATCCTTAGTAAACGTATATAATAAGCTGGCTGGGCTAATATAGTTTTTGAAATTGTAATGATTTTTAAGTAAGGGCAGTTTAAAATCAAACGAACATTAAAGAGTTGACGTCTTAAAACAAATAAAACTTCACAGATGCAGTGCATTTAACAGCTACAACATGCCACTATGACTGTTCCTTTTTCTTGACTGGTATAGTGCAATTCAGTATCTGTCTGCTAGATAGCAAAAATAATAGCACCAGAATCAAGGGCATCCAGTTTTACTGCACTCTCCCCTATATAATTTATTTCCACTCTTCTTTATATGTAGTAAAATTCTTGGAACATTATTTGTATATAAATTGTTTTACCTTTTTATCAGTTATGTTCTCTTTTTTTTTTTTTTCTTCCGTTTGTAAAGTGTTAACTCTCTAAATTCTGTGCTATATTTTTTGAATATTGTTTACCATAAAAGTATCTAGTATTTACTGGTAAAGGCAGA